ATAAAAGATAATCTATAACATAACCTGCTTCGTATTCCCCTGCCATTTTATCTATACTATATAAGGTATTTTCTCTTTAAGTCTTTTTGTTTATGTTTGGTGGTTATGGGATTGGGGTTGGGTTGAAACATTGAAAACAATGGGGTTTGAGCTCAACCTTGAAATGTGGGTTTGGGGTTGAGTTTTCGGGGGGAAGCGACCCCAAATAAAGCATCACGAAGACACTGGTTTTCGTGATGACCTATCACGGGTTTTCGTGATAACAACGCACGGGTCTTCAAGGTTCGTGATAATGTATCACGGGTTTTAATTGTTCGTGATAATATCACTTGTATCCCCCAGAAAGCTTAAAAATTGTCTGAAACCCGAACGTTGAAAATGTCAATATCTTAGACTGTTTCATAATGAAAAAATTGTAAAAAAATGTTGAGAAATGACCCTTGAAAATGTTTAAAGAAAAGACCCCTTAATATAGTAGGAATAAATGACCGAAGAAATGAAACAATGCTCTAAATGTAAAATGAAAAGGACACTTGATAATTTTGAGAACGAAAATAAAAACTGTAATATTTGTTTAGAATCAAGACGAAGATATAGACAAAAACATAATGATAAGGTAAGTCAATACAATAAAGAATATTACAAAGAACATAAAACTGAACTATTGACCAAGGCAAAAGAAAAGCGGGATGACGAATATGTAGATTGCTTTTATTGTAATGATATAGTAAAGAAATATGATATAGGTAGACACGTTAAAAGTTTAAAGCATATTTCAAATATGGAAAGAATACATAACAAACAATAATTTGATTGATAATATTATTTCATTATGATATTATTAATCATCATTTTTACATACTTATTGAAAAACTAAAAATTAATGAGTTGAAAAAACAAATAAGGTGGTGATAATTACCTCATTGAAAAACTGTAAATAATGAATAAGGGTGTCATTGATTGACTTATTGAAAAATGAAAAATTGTAAAAAAAAAAAATGTTGAGAAAATTTAGGAAAATTCCCCACAATCAACCTTTAGGTTTTGGACAAAATGGTTTGCTTGTTTAAAAGTAGTGTTGAACCCTGAAACCCTGAACTGAAAATTCCCTGCCTTAGAATCAATCTTATAATATTTTTTTTTTGGGGGGGGGAACCCTCAAAAGACCCGCCCAGCTCTTTCTCCACGCCTTTTGAAGCCGGGAGCCCACCTCGGCTTCCGGGCAGCTGCGCCACGCCGCAGCTGGAGCACCAGGCCTCGCGCGGTCACGAATCCGTTTCGCCTTCCCTGCGAAAAAAGACCGAGGGAGGGGCAAACAGACAAAATCCCAAAAAACAAAAACAAAAAGCAATAATAACAAAAGAGAGAGAGAAAGAAAATCAGAAACCCCGGTTCAAGCTCAAGTCTGCTGAGCCCTCAAAGGGCCATTTGGAAGAGTTGGGACCCGCATCCCTGAAGAAGCCGTTGCTTTTTCCCGGAAAATACCAACCCTGCGCATTGGGATCTTCCCCAATAGACCCCCCAAGCTAGTCGCCTCCATTCGTTGCCTGTACAGTTTTTAGGCAGAGCTCCTTGCACGCTGAGTGATCAAGATTGGAAGGCAGATTCTCGGAGTCGAGAAAGCACCTCAAAAGATTCAATACAGATATGGTGCTTGAAAGGACCGCAGGGTCAACCACAAAGAGGGCAGAAAGATGCAATCCTCAGCAAAGGGGAACTCATCTTCCCTTTGGCAGGTTCGTGTGCAGGATTGAAGCTTGAGATTGTGAGCAGCGAGCTTTGCCCAATTCGAATCACCGGAGATTTGCTTTATTCTAAGTTCGAGGTCTTCCTTCCCGAAATCGACCATCAACCACCTCGGAACAAAAACAAACAAAAAACCAAGGCCCGCCTATTCGGAAAGGGTCCTGATCAAACCTTCTGATGGAAGGGGTTCTGATCGAAGGGTTCCATCGAACCAATTTCTCTAGGCCCTCCAGTAGAGAGGTTAGAATAAGGGTACCCTTTTTCCTGTAGTCTGTTTTAGGGGAGCCGAATCTCCCCCCAAGGGCACAGTGACCAGGCTCACCCGGCCAGCAAGCGCTTGCAGCGGACCATCAAGTAATCCTCGCCTCAAAGCATGCGGCAAGAGAGGAAAAAACAAACTGTCAACCTGTACTCTTCAATCCTCCCAATTCACAAGGCTGTGGCGCGTGATTCAGATGGATTTCGCAACCCACCGTCGCCCTAGCCCTCGACATTGTCCAGCACTTGCTGTCATGGGCTGGAAGTCCTGCCCAGCTTGTGCCGGCCCAGAGTTGAGACAAAGATACGAGATTGAAAGGCTCATGCAGTTGAATCCCAACCATATTAGACCAGGGAGCTTGCCGGATTCCCTGTAAACCTTGGCTCCCAGCTGTGGCTCCCGGCGCGCCGCAGTCCGCATGTCGCGAGCGTCAGGCCCAAGCAGCGCCCAAGCTGTGCCGACGTTTTGGTCTCCTCCCTAGCCTCAAGTTAGATCCGCCCTCAATTTGGCTTTGCATTGCTAGGTTTGCTTGGATGTGCTTTGAGAAATTGTTGTCAAAAAATAGGGCAACCCCAAGTTGGCCTGCCCTGGGAAGTGGCAACATGGACCAGAACCTGTGGTCCCCCGCTGGTGTAATTTGGCCCCACACCCAAATTACTTCGGAGCTTTGATCCAAGGCCTTTGACCTTTGCCCTCCGGGCGGTCTCTCGTGCCCTCGGATTCCAAACGCCTGGCGAACAGTTCGGGCTCGGAACGCGGATCTTGGACTCTCGGCCGGACTCTATGTTCTGCAAATCTTTGGTCCGCAAGCGAACGAGAGCGGCCCCAAGACTAAGGAGTGTCAGTCAAGGAAAGTGGCGAATCGAAACCCCAAGGATCTGCGTTGCGTCTTGCCTGTGACCAAGGCAGCAGCTTGCCACCTTTCCCCCAAGAGGATTGGAGCGCCTCATCAAACGTCACTATGTCATTCCGGAGAAGTAACTACGTGCCCGAAGTACATGCCACAAACATATATGGCCATGGGTCGAAAGCCCGTACCCCCAGTGAACATCCCAATCCCCACTAAAATAGACTAAAATGGGTGGTGCACCTGCCCCAAAATGGTATCATTGGTTTTGTATGTATCCTTTCTGTGCACCCAGCAAACAGTATCAGAATGGTGGCCAGTTGGCAGAATGGTCGGCACGAGCCCAGGGCGAGACACGCAGCTCTTTCCCTCGAGTCATGCGCTCTCGTTTTAGGTGCTTCTTCTTTCTCAGCCTGTAGCATAAAATTCACACACTCCTGACACTGTGTTGACAGCAAGGAAACCAACGACCCCTCCACCCCCTAGAATTTGAAGTCTTAGATGGGCTTTGAGAACCTTTCTGGGGGGTAGGGGGGTCTTAGTGTCTCCTTCTGAGTGAAGGAGGTCTTTGTTCAAGACCGTCTGCAGCCAGTTCAAGGCTACTGCCGAGAGAAGGTGCCACCAATGCACTGTTCAGTGTAACGTAGCACTCGTATGCACAGTGCCCATTCGGCAACTTAAGGGTGTGCGGGACCCCTGCAGGCCTAGTACCTGCCATCCTCAAGATGCACGGTATGGGAACGAATCAAGCTGTACAGCCGTACAACTTGAGATATGCAGCCGTGTTCAGCTGCACGATTGTATGTTTGGTTCGGATTGGAATTTGCGTGGACGTGCACCAGCTGGCGACCATTACCCTTCGAAGAGATGGTCAACGGGTAGCACAAAATGAGACGGCCGCCTGAAACGGTCTGGCCGGCCGTGGAACGATGGCGTTGGAACAGGTGCCATGGCGTGGGGCGGGCTCTCTGGCTGTCGACTCTCGCTAGCCCTGAAGAGCTAGACGCGTCATTCTATGGTCCTACCATTGCCCAAACGGACAAATTCGATACTCAGTGCTTCCAAACAGGCACAGGGCTTGCACAGGCGCCATCCAGGGTCATCCTTATGTGTGTATACTACGTGTATGAAGATATATGCAGTGTTATATGTATATATATATATGTACATAATGGTATATATATATATATGTACGTGTATATATATATATATGTATGTATGTAGACATGAAGAACCATACGTACACACATTATGACTTATAGTTGGACTATGTCCGTTATGTCCATTTGGGCGATGTGAGCAGAACCTTAGAAACATGCCGGCCTTCAGCCCCATGTCTGCCGTCAGGCGCAAGAATTGTCTCTTGGCTAGGCAGGCCATACAGAGTTCTGGCACGCGGCCACAGGAACCGGCGATGCCTCGCATGCACCGGAAGACCTGCATTCCAAAAACATAACGGGAACGCCGGATTCATAAGCCCCTGGATACATCGGGCGATGCTCTCTGTTCGGAATTCCTCACGGTTTCCGGGGGAACAGCCCTCGTATTTTCTTGGACAGGTGTATTCAATCAGGGTTCAACACTATGACTATGACGTTGAAAACCTAAATATTGCGAAGAAATCATATCTGAGTCTGAAACACATGTTCCAAAAAGGCCTTCTGTGCCTAGGAACGAAAATGGCAGGCTCCATGACTTCCAGTGCGTACCAGAACCTGGACGGACGAAACGCTGTGCTTTGTCAGGCACTGCCAAGTTCCGGAAACATCCGAAAACACCAAGTCTGTGCGTCTTGATATGCGGTCCTCATCAGGACAAAAAAAAATCGAAGGATCCCTATAAACCATCCTTTGTTTCCTTTCAAAAGACCAATTCCTGGGTTCATTCCCGCATTCCCTGCTGAGCACCAGCAAGTTGTTTTCTCAAACACGGGCAGCACAAGCACCAAAAGGAGCATTTCACGTTGGCCGTGCTACTGCACCCCAATATGAAACAAAGAGCATGTCCGCGCTGGACAAGAGGATGTGGTATCGCGTGCACCGGCGATACTCATTTATTGGATACTTAAAGGGGCATGGTACTTAGTCCGTGGGAAATAACTATTGTTATAATCCATTTATCATGATTATAAGTCTCCTAAGTGTGTTATAACCAGGCTTACTAGTACCCTGCCCCTTCAAGTAGTGGACTCGGACAACATCTGCCTTACGAGGTTGCACGCGAATAATTCGCTTCCTTAGATCTTGGAAAGCTGTGCGAGGGATGCAGGTCATGGGGAACATTCTAGGCACCCATTTTGTTGCTTGAAGGGGCAGAAGCAAATCACTGCAAACACCGGCAGTCACCAAAATTAGGACAAACACAACAAATTCCAATTTACCCAAATGGTTGTAGTTTAGAAGGAAAACAAAGAAACACAAAAAACTCTGAACATCCCATCTTTGCTCGACCATCTTAAACAGGGTTTCTGACGAGCTTTCTGGGGGGTTGGGTGGTAGGGGCCTCTAGGCTATTTCTTCAATACTTGAAAGGCACATGCACTGCACCGATGGGTCAGACTGAAGGCTTTGGGAAACTGCCGACCGCATGGAAACGTGGAACCACCCCTTTTGTCAACACAACCAGAAAGTTTGCACTGGGGGTTCCTGGAAAGCAATTTAAATTTCCGCCAAAATGTCTATGATAGTTGGTGGAGACGTAACAAGCGAGTTTTAACGACCAAGGCCGATAAAGAGCACCCGTTTCAAGGAAGATCTACTTCTGCTTCAACTGGTTCAACCTGCAAGAGTCCGATTCAATGGACCAAACAGGTGCCCCCTTTCGAACCCTCAAATGGACGCATCCGTCCCTGAAAAAGCTGCGGGCTCGACAAAGTGTTGCTTTCCTTTTCGGAATACAACCTGCTTGAGGAAGGACTATACCAATCTGATAAACTCAGTCCCCACAGAAGCATTTGTGGTTAACTGGAACCCCAAACGGACCATGGACCACTGTAACATTTGACCGAACCTCATATGAGCTACCAGGGCTCCCCGGCATCCCCCCTAGCAACACCCCACCAAAGTCAACTCACCGTAAAACGGCCCAAAAGGTGATGTGTGCAACCAAAGGGGAGACGGCCCCATGTCTCATTCCAAATCCGCCCTCCGGCCAGGTTGCGGAAGGCCAAAGCTGGCGTTACAAGCTTACAACAAGCTCGCCACCTCAGAAACACCAAGCCATCTGGAGTGCTCAAGATAGGACCCCCAAAAAAACTAGAGGGATGTAATGGGTGTATTAGTCCATACCGCCGTATTTGGTTTTTGTCTATTGATTGAGTGTGTGAACCACAGATTGCGAGTGGCTGTTGCGGCGTCTTTTGAGCATGGGCCTTAGAGGTTTGTGTTTTGGACCCTTGCAAACGTTTAATCATTGGGACCACTGCAGACTTTGTGGTCTGCCTCGTAGTACGTGAGGTCTCAAAGAAGCCCATCCTGGGAGGTTCTGACCTCAAAAATGTCTGCAGACATCCCAAAACCAAACAAGTTATCCAATCCGCAGGACTGTTTGCACTGGGCTAAAGACCACCAGGATTTGTCATGTTGTAGAAATTAATCGGAAGAATGCAATTGACAGTTTCATTTCACGTTAGAACTTAAATCTGCATTTGTATAGATTGAATTATAATTTCTATAGGAATTCTTTGCCAAATAGGTTGTTAATTGGAACTCACCTAGAGTCTATATAGAGTTTAGTAAGTAATTAAGTGAAATGGAATTTGCACGTCTTTGGGAATTCCTTTCCAAACAGACGTTTGATTCCACTTCAGCTGGATTTTCAAGATGGATTAATGGACGGATTCTAATTCCACATAAAACTTTAAAGAATTGTTTGATGCACAAAAGAACTTCCAAGCGAACTAGAAATCAAATAAGGGTATGCTCCAGCAAAGCTGGATGGCGGACGTTTCGAACCAAAAATGCGCCTATACAAAATGAACTGTTTTCGTGGAGCGTCTTTTCTCTTCTCTGCGTTCTCTTCTCTGAGCATTTCGCGTCTTGTCTTGTCTTTCTCTTCCTCTCGTTTTGCATCTTTATCCTTCTCTTTCTCTTCGACTTTCTCTTCCTCTCGTTTTTTCATTTTTCTCTTCCTCTTTCTCTTCGACTTTCTCTTCCTCTCGTTTTTCCATCTTTATCTTTATCTTTCTCTTTCTCTTCTCTTTCTCTTCCTCGCGTTTTTCCATTTTTATCTTTATCTTTCTCGTTCTCTTCTCTTTATCTTCCTCTTGTTTTTCATTTTGCTCTTTCTCTTTCTCCTTCTCTTCTCTCTTCTCTCTTCTCTCTTCTCTCTTCTCTCTCTCTCTCGCTCTCTCTCTCTCTTCTCTCTTCCTCTTCTTTCACTCTCTCTCTCTTCTCTTCTCTTCTCTTCCTCTTGCTCTTTATCTTTCTCTTTCTATTTCTCTTGTTCTCTTCCCTTCTCTTTCTCATTCCCTTCTTTCTTTACCGTTCTTTCTTTACCGTTCTTTATTTATTTGTTTCTTTCTTTCTTTCTTTCTTTCTTTCCTTCTTTCTTTCTTTATTTCTTTCTTTCTTTCCTTCTTTCTTTATGTTTCTTGTTTCTTTGTTTCTTCGTTTCTTTGCTTATTTGCTTATTTGTTACTTGTTTCTTTGTTTCTTTGTTTCTTTGTTTCTTTGTTTCTTTGTTTCTTTGTTTCTTTGTTTGTTTGTTTCTTTGTTTCTTTGTTTCTTTGTTTCTTTGTTTCTTTGTATCTGTGTGTCTTTGTTTATTTGTTTATTTCTTCCTTTCTTTCTTCGTTATTTTCTGTCTTTCTTTCTTGCTGTCTCTTATTTTCCTTTCTTGTCTTTTTGTTTCTTACTTTATTCCTTTCCTTTTCTTACTTTCTCTCCTGATTCCCTTCTATCTTTCTTTGTGTGTTTCTTTATTGCTCCTTCCTGTCTTTACTTATTCGTTCCGGTTTCGATATTTCTTTCTTTCTCATTTTCTGTTTTTCTTTCTTTCTTGTCTTTTTTTTCTTTATTTCTTTCCTTATTTATTTAGTTCTTTCTTTTCTTTTCTGTTTTTCTCTTTTATTTTTCTCTTTCTTGCTTTCCTCTCCCTTTCTCTGTCTCTTTCCATTGCATCGATCTACCTATCTATCTATCTATCTTTCTATCTATCTATCTGCACCCGATCTTGCAAAATTGCTGCGCCTGCCGCGAAATCTACACTTAGCCTTCCGTGTTAAGCATGTATTTCGTGGTTAAGCAACAAGAATGATCATAGCATTCTATAAGAAAGAGTTTGTCCAAATCTACTTAGAAATTGGAGACTTGATCCGGAGAAGCTCCTGGAGAATGTGATGCGAATCCCGAATCCCGAATCCCGAATCCCGAATCCCGAAACCCAAAGTTGGATTTGGGATTCGCGAATCCCGAATCCCGCGCGGCGAAGCGATCCCCGGATCGCTACTCAGAAATAGGGACAGGCTTCACAAGAGTCTCGCACGCGGCTAGCTGACACACCCTGTAAGAAAGGAATCTGATTCGCACCTTGAGTAGCACAGCAAGTAATAGCCCGCAACACAGCCCATGCAAGCATGTACAAGGCAAAACGCAGGTCCAATACACACATCAGATGCAAATCCGATGATAGGTTAGTCAAGACAACTAAGAAAAAGAACTTGCATGGAAAAACACAGCCTCCCATGGCGTTCCCTGACCAAGAATACGAATGATTGCCTAAAGAGACTGGCTACTGTTTTCAAACAGTTGTAGGGGACATGACAAGTGAGTAGTGTGAATTTCCCGGTCTTTGGCCCCTGCTTTTGTGAGAAAGTTTTGAGTTGGTCCCTCCTTCTCGCGTGGCACGGAGTCGATATTCACTCATGCCTTTCAAATGGGCGCAGCCCATCCCGGCAGCAATGTCTAAGTGGTGCCCAAATGTGTTTCTTCTGCTCCGGACTTTGGAGAACCACAAGGAATCCAGGGTGTGCAAATGGAAGGACTAAACCCCTGCCATCTGGGTTCATTTTTCACCCATACCCAATTGGCCCTAGCCCCAGTGAACATCCGAATCCCCACTAAAATAGACTAAAATGGGTGGTGCACCTAAAATGGTACCACTGCCAAATCTTGATCAAGCAACTTGCGGTTCAGACCTCCGATCCTGCCGGGACCCCCGGCATGTGGCCAAGATCTGTGCGAGCTGTAAGCCCAGCTCTTCAACACTTTCCACCTGTCGTCGAATCGATCCCGGCCGAGTCCAAGCCAACCTGAGTCACAATCAAAACCCGGTACAAAAATGGTCGAGCCAGAACCATGTAAAGAACCAAGAAGGCAGCGCAGCTATTTATGGCTGGGATCGTCCCTTGCTAACCTTCACTTACCCGGGTTGTGATTGCGGCTCACCTGGTCACCCCTTGTGACCCATTTTCTATTGGCCGGCACGGAAGCTTCGGCAGCAAACGGGGGTAGGGCTCCAACCAAGGTTGTGTGACCCATGGCGTATCAGGCTCGCGCAAAGTGCCCAAGGGATGACCAAACCGAAACTCAAGCAAAAGGCAAAAAGAAAAAATGTTCGGACCATGCCAACCAGAGGCCCCCCAAAACTACCCAAGGCACCTGTGACCAGTGCAACTCTCCGGTTCTGCCGAGGCACAGCAAAGCGGTGGGAAACCAATGAGTTGCTAGCGCCCTCACCTTTGGCCGGGTCGCCTCGGTTGTCAGACACAGGGCTGAATCAAATACATACATCCTGCTTGGTGTGTCAGTTTCTCTTCGAGGTAACCTTGAAAGGATGAGTTTCTTGGTGGTTTCCCTGTAAAACAACCCAAACAACAGATACCCTCAACAAAAAAGCTCCTGTAGCCAGCTGCAGCCTGTCAAAACCACCATATTACTTGGAAGATACGCAAAAACACAGGAGGGAGGTCCATAAGACCTTTTATCTGATGTCAAGATGCTGTCCGTAGACGAGGATGTCAACGCATCCTTCGCGTGCGTTCCATTTGAACCTTGGCCGAAAAAAGATGCAGAGCGGATGGCAAGAACAAGCTCTTGTTGCTTCCCCTGGCCCCTGTTTCCCTAAGACCCCAATATCTGTTCTGAAGGCCTCGTTTGGAGGAAACCGGGCAGCCGATGTCCTTCAGTGATGCACTGGACGTTTGGGAAGCCCAAAAGGTGAGGTGCGAATTAGGGAATGCGAAGACATGGGCCATCATGCGCTCCTTCCCTACGGACACACCATAAAACCCCCGAACGCCGTGCCCGTGTAAACTTGTCGAAATGACTCAAGCCACACATAGAAAACTGAAAGACCGAACCTCCTGCCCTGCAAAAAGTGCTCTAATGGAAAACGAAAGAAACCCAAAAGGGATGCAAAAAGGTTACGAATGGCAATGATCCGGCTAATCCGACAGCCGTCCACAAGATTCGGCCCGTTCCGCACCAAGTTCTCAACCGGACCCGACCCCTAGCCTGCCCTCTCTGGACTTCTCCATGTGACTGAACTCCGGGAGCGGTTTCTTTTGGTTTCCCTTCAAACGCACGCCCGAAAAAAATACCCAGGAAAAAACACACACACATACACATACACATACACATACACATACACAAACACACAAACACACAAACACACACACACACACTACACTACACTACACTACACTACACTACACTACACTACACTACACTACACTACACTACACTACACTACACTACACTACACTACACTACACTACACTACACTACACTACACTACACACACTACACTACACTACACTACACTACACTACACTACACTTCTTGCAAACAAACAACCAAGTATCTTGTGGAACATCCAATCCCCCACTTACATCAACGCTAAGGCACTCCCGGAAGACCCGTGCAAGGTCGGCTGGCGCACTTCCACTTCCCAAACCTCGAGCCGGATTTGTCTAAGGACAAGATCCATTTTGCACCAAATGGTAGGTCGTTTATCAACCATTATTTCTAGGGCTTCATCTATCCCAAGTATTGCGAATTGGATTTCGTCCACCGGAATGGTACAGGATACTTGACAAAATCCTGCAGTTTTCATGTAGATGGTTTTCTCTCATGTCATGGCGGTATCCAGATGGCCTCGTAAACACCAAGTAGCACAAGGGGGATTTCGTTCACAGCAACGTAAACACCATGGAATGCAAGACACGTCTCCTGCTTGCTCCCAGAGTCCATACCGGGGCAGAAGGTTGTTCAACCTCATGGAGTGTTTGGGATGATTTTTAAGCCCGTATGCGGGGTTCTAAGAGAACCCAATCACAAAGCCAAACAACGGAGCCATAAAGAAGTGGTGGGGTTGGGTTTAAACACGAATTATCCTTCCGAGAGGGGGTGCCCCCCCCCCCACCGCAAACTAGTGGAGAATTGCCACCAAAGCCACACATGCCACCAAAAGACACAAAAGCTCGAAAGGCCCTCCTGAGCAGGAACCGTGACATTGGTTCAGGGGTTAGTCACTGGTGATGTGAGGCAAACACTCCGGAAACGCCTCCTCCCCTGGTTCGCTTTGGGTCCGATGCCCAAAGCCATCTGCATTCCTGTACGCACGCACGATCCGCCAGCAAAGGTGTACAAGAGTACTTGGCCTCGAGGCTTGACAGACTTGACAGACAATTGTCACTGCCTGAAGGCTGGACCGGCTGAATCTGGGAATCTTTGCTCGACAGGTCCGGCTGCAAGAACGGAAGCGGTGCCCAAGCACAAGGATCTGCTCTCTCTCACCGAGAAAGCAGATACGAGACTGCCATCGGTTCCTCGCAAACCTGCCGAACCCGGAAACGCCAAATCCTCCAGGTAGCCAGAGTAAAAGTCGCAGACAAGTAGGTCAACTGTTCGCGGAAAGTAGGGCCCAGTGCGGCCTCTAAAGACGTGCGGGAGAACATGCCATCTGCAACCAACACTGCCGCGACAAGCGGCGGACCCCAACCCTTCCAGAGAGCGAATTACAAAGACGAGGGCCCCCAAAGGCCCAGGCAATCTGAAGTTCAAAGGAGCGGGACGCCCAAACGTGGATTCCAGCAGGCATTCCACAACTCCAAAGAAGGAGCCCTGAGTAGACATAAGAACAAGTTGCCTGGGGCCAAAGAGAAGTCGAAGCTATCTTAAGTCCACTTCCTTTCTTGGAAAGAGGCTAAGGACAAAAACCTGACTTAAAACGCCAGTGGTATCCGGACGTGTCCGGCCTTGTTCCGCGAGGGAGTCTTTACTTCTTGCCTCTGTCGCAGCCCGCGAAGACATTCCCACAGCTTCTCCTGCGAGAGAGAGGCGCCAAAATCACGCGCTGCGCTCAAAAAAAAGAGACACACCGCCACGAAAAAAAAAAAAAAAAGGAAATTGATTGCTTTCAGTATGTTCTTGGCCTCCGTAGCGCTCGGCTCAGTTGCCCAAAATGCTGGGACACCCAGCACTAAGTCACTAGTTTGTTCCCTGCAGTTGCTCGGCCACGAAACAGCTTCGGTGCTTTGCTTCCGCTAATGATACATGCATCTGTTTATGTTTCATATTCAAGTGTTTTGATTCTTACAAGCCATGATGTGCAGGATTATTGTCTATTTGTAACAAACAACAAAAAACCAAAAAATGAATTAAAATATCAGCGCAGGTATTACAATATCACATCCAAATGCTAGCGGAGTATACACGACAACATTGTAAATTATCTATCATTTCGATTCTGCATTCAACCACACAGACACAAATAGATCACACTTTTGACAACTACTCCAAGAACCTAATAAGGGATCCCCCAGAAAATGACCTGCATCACGGCAGGCCCGCGGAATCACGGCAAGATCGCCATCAAAAAAAAAGAACGGTCTCGCGCTACCGCGCGCGTTGCCGCTCCCACCTGAGAGATCAGGCCAGATGCAAACGCCTCTGTCGTTGAGATCTTCTGCCCAGCTTGAAATATCATGGGAGCGTTGTCCTGCCACAATGCATCATATCCACTCCTGAGCCAGGACGTTTGCAAGCGGACGGCGGACACGTTGCTAAGGATGCACAAGAAAAAAGGCACACGCCCTTCAAACTCAAGATCGATGTGAATTGAATCGGGGACGCGTTGGCGGAAATCACTTGAGTCACTTGCACCCCCAACCCACCCCATGTCACCACTCAAAAGCAACAATGTCTACAATGCCGCTGGCTTCAAAACAAATTTCGGGAACACCAACCAGCGCTTACCCAGATCCGAGAAATCGCACTGCGGTCAAGACGCTTCATCACAAAGAAGGCGACGTTGGGAAGGAAACCCTGCACCCCTGCTTGACAAACTGCTATCCAGTCTGGCTCAAGAACCTTAGTAGCTTCCGTTCCTGTCATGCGCAAGTGCCATCAAAGCCAATACATCGCGGCTCAAAGCTAAAAAAACAGATCCTCTCAACATGTTAGCTTTCAAGGAAGTCAAAGCACAGACCAGAAAAGTAGCATCCCCTTCTGAATATTTTTTCCTGGGTGCCTTCGACAAGTGCTCACCAGCCCGAACTGCACTCGCGTGGTCGACGAAGTTGACGAAGCACATGTCGATATTCCTCGTTCTCCTCTGTCCTTGGCACAAAAGCAGCTGGACTTTTTTGCGGGCAAGGTGCACTGGCTGGAGCAGGATTTACAAGCTGCCCTCAACCAACATGGAACCTAAAACATAGCACCTGTCTTCATGCAAGGCTCTGGATCTCGGGAAGAAAAAAAAGTCGTACTTGTTTTGCGCCACCTCATCCATCGTGTGCAGCAAGACGTCGCTGACCAATCGAGGGGGCAAGAACTTAAGCCTTGGCCATCCGCGAATCCGCACGCATTGGAAGTGGGGATAATTAGTGCCCTGCATCAAAAGAAATGAGAGGGCCAAGAAGCCATGCATCCCCACAAGTCACACCAGGAAAATACCCAACTAACCAAACAAAATCTGAGCCTGCGCACGTTTCAGTGCCGCCGGCCCCAGGTAAAGTCTCTTTTTGGATGGTAGCTTAGATCACCTCTTGAGCCCTGAGAAAATGTCTTGTTTCCCCAAGAGCTTTCGACAGGATTGCGAGAAATGCTTGTGATATCTGCAGCTGACTGGCATAATCGTGGTGGCGGTCTCATCAAGATAAAACCTGTCAATGTCTCAAGCCACTCTCAGAGCAAACGGCTCAGCCACAAGTCAAGGCGCTTGTTTGATCACCTTCGGCTGGGCAAAACACTAAAAATGTCGCAGTCAAACCCGGGGAAAAAAAGAAGAAGAAAAAAGTGGAGCCGGCACAAAATGGCACCCTCCAAACTGAAATACCTTCCAGTTCTTAGGCCAGAAAAATGTGCGGATGTTTTGCGAATGCCTCCCGCGCGCCTTCCTTCTTCCACGAGGCGAATGGTCGCTTTTGGAACTACATGATCCATACACCTGCGTCGGTTCCGACGAAGGCTGAAATCCTTGTGTTTGATCCAACAAGCATAACCAAAAATGGAAACCTGCAAGGTGCGGCACCATAACATGTGTATGATTACATGGCATTATTGGGTTGTTGCATCCTGCCAGTAACATTTGCCAGAGCAACATCTTTGGCCTCAAACCATGCGGCAGCCTGAACAAGCACTGGGCACCCCTTTGACCCGTTGATTTGTTGCACGGACATCCTCCGTACCCCCATGCGATTGATTCAAAATTGCCCTCCCCAAGGCCTATTTGAACCCCCGTTTCTCCACGGGAAGTGCTGAACAGACCTCAAGTAAGTTGGAGACTCGCAAGGTGGTCACTCAACCAGTGCCAACAACACCCTCGCGAGGACCAAATAAGCTATGAAAACACCATCCGCCGGGCGTAGCCCCCTCGCCCAAAATTGCAGTGCCCGGCATGAAAAACTCTCATTGGAGCATGTGCCCTTGTTGCGAAATCACTGGTTTGCTTCGATTATCTAAACCCACCCCGAAAAGGATGCCCTCGAAAAACACGCCCCAATCACATTCTAGCACCCAGCTCACATGCTGCTTGCCTGTTTGTTGAGCAGAGCGTCTCGAGTCCATCCACACTGATGCAAACCGACGTTCGATGGGAACTAGCTTGCTCCTGTACATAGAGCCATCGCGACGGTCGGACAAAAGGGACAACTTTCAAACCCCTGTGCCCCGGAAACTTGGAGAGTTCCTTTCATGTCCCCCTTTCTTTTCCTCGCACGGATCTCACATCACTGGCAAACAACAACAACAACACAAATAGGGTTCTTTTTTCGAGCAGTTGTCAAGGCAAAACTCAAAGGTTGACCTATTTACATTGGATTTCTTGGCCAAAAATCACAAATCACCAGCAAACCTCCACTGAAAATTGTACTCAGTCTTCCACAAATTCAGGACTTTCCCAAAAAAAGGAGACCCTTACAATTGGTTGGTGTCCTTGTCTGGCTATAACTATGGGTAAGGGGTCCGATCTTTTGGCTTGTGTTGGTTGCAAAATGTTACATTTGCAACATGCTTATGGGTTTTTTGTTCCGGCACGTACTTTTACACAACATGGTAACATCATCATTGCCATTGTCAGCGCCAGTCAGTGCGATTGCCGCTCTCACTGTCAATGACATGTGGCATTCTCACTAGCAATGTAGCTGTCCGTTTGCGAATTCCGACTGCCAGCCCATGTATGACATTGCCACTGCCAACGCCATTCTCGTTGCAGCCCTTGTGTGAGCGAGTTTGTTTCTTCGGGCTGAGCAAAGAGGCATTGCAACTATGACTATGATCATTGTTGCTTGTGGCTGTTGCTTTCGAGTCAAGGCAACTGAGGGCAAATGCGTTAGAGTTGGATCACGTGAAAGTAATTGTATTATTTTGACAGCTGATACTCAAACAGGCAAGAAACACCCAAAACCAGGAACACGGGACCAAAGAGATAGAATCTTGATCACTGCTTCAAGCCGTAAGGGAACATGCAGCAAAAAACAAAAGAGTTAAGGCATGTTGCACTGCTCCTAGCTTGAACCCAAACATGACCCCTCAAAAGAACAAAGCACGTCCGAAGCGGCCGCAGTTCTTTTTACCGGGATTGCTGAAAGTAGCACTGCTTCCAGGGCACTAGTGCGCCTGGAACAGGAGGCGCGTTGACCCCACTGGAACAGGAGGCGCGTTGACCCCCCGAAATCTTGAAAAGGCAAGACAATGCGTGTCCTGTCCGGAGACCGAAAGGTCCGGAGACCCGAGGTCCGGAAACCAAAGTTGGTCCTGGTCCGGAAGCCGAGAGGCCCGGAGACCACCAATGAAAGTGCAGAGTGGCTGCTGCCGAAACTTGCAGAGCCTTGTATAAGGCAGTGCAGGGTGGGCGGGTGGGTTTCAAATGAAACCGCAGGTTTGGGTCAAGGCTAGGAGCAAAACGGCCAACGCGTAGTTCGATTCACAACATGCCCTAAACACAAGGGAAAAGAAACCCTAAGCGTTAAGGCATGTTGCACTGCTCCTAGCTTGAACCCAAACATGACCCCTCAAAAGAACAAAGCACGTCCGAAGCGGCCGCAGTTCTTTTTACCGGGATTGCTGAAAGTAGCACTGCTTCCAGGGCACTAGTGCGCCTGGAACAGGAGGCGCGTTGACCCCCCCTTCAGTGTTTCAGGCAATAAGCGAGCCCGCTGGGCCGCAGGCCTCATCACCCGCCCTTCAGAGTGGGGTTGTACCTGGCAGGGCAAATGTTTGCGTGGCCATGCACGCTGGGCTGTGAGCAGCCTGTTACTCAGGGTCTGCACTTTTTCCGGTCAGAGCGACGCCGCCAGTTGTTCTGGCTGACAGGGCGAGAAGGCCATTTGGTCGCAAGGCATGTCGGGATGCAAATAAGGCTGGCTAAGCGCTGCTGCCAAAT